AATAGAGAAATTAACTGTGCATCAATTTCTACAGCCAGGAGAACCATTTGCATATTTTATCCCACTTTAGTTTTTGGGATTTTTTTTTTTTGGAGGGTGGCATACACGAACAATTCTCAGGGCTAACTCTTACTTGGGTCATCAGAGATCATTTCTGGTCGTTATGCCTAGCCAGATCATTAGGAGGAGTTCTCCAATGCTGCCCTGCAAGCAGGAAGCAGAACCAGGACCTCACTTTGAACTAAGTGGGCAAACTAAGGATTGTGAGACTGATTGACCTGGAAAAAATCATCTTGCACCATACGGACTATACATGATCCTTGGCATTACAAAGAAACAATCTTCCCTTCTCACAGACTTTAGATAAAGCTTCATCTTTATAAGTGGATATTCTCCTGCTCACGACACACCTCAGGTATGTGGGGGTCATGGCTCTGGGGTCTATGTGTCTGGCCATACATTCCTCCCCAGAGATTGCAGTTACGAGGTTGACATCATAATATATACTTTGATGTGCTGGTAATGTATGCTTATCTTGTAACCTCTGGTCTTCTTGTCAATGATTCTCCTTGCTATAGCCCATTATTGATGTATAGGAGAAAAAAGCAAATAAAAGGAGACTGCAATGGCTGCTCTACGCCACAGGGCCTAGAGAGCCATGGTCCTCTGTGCTTTATCATTCCTCTTGCTTTTCTTGTCTCTGCATCTCTGACTGCCTGATCTAATGTTCGCTCAACACTGGCAGCATTCAGAGAACCATATGAGATGCCAGGGATCGAACCCAGGACAGTGTCTTCTTTTTGACGGGGAGGGGAAGCATACTCAATGGTGTTCAGGGGTTTCTTCTGGCTTTACATTCAGGAATTACTTCTGATGGGCTCAGAGGACCATATGGGATGTCAGGGATCGAACTCTGGTAGGCCATGTGCAGGCAAGAATCTTAACCACTATACTCTCTCTCTCTCCAGCCGCTCACTCCACTTTATAGACCTACCCCAGGAACAGCAATATCTTCTTTGTGCAATGCCAGCTTAACCATTTAACTACTAGCTTAGTTGTATTTCATTATTTTTAAGTTTTACTGAAAGGACTGTTTAATAATAAAGGAATATGGGTATCAATTTTTATTTTATTTTTATTGAATCACAGTGAGATAACAATTAGAGAGTCTTTCATGACTGGATTTCAGTCATATAATGTTGCAAAACTCATCCCTTCATCGTTGTACATTTTCCACCACCAATGCCCCCAGTCTCCCTCCTATTCCCTTCCCATTCCACAATGCTATGGTAGGGACATTTCTCTCCCTCTTCCCCTCCCTTCCTCTCTCTCCTCCCCCCATATTTCCTCTCCCCTCTCTCCCTTTCCCTCTTCCTCTACTCTACTTCTCTCTCTCTCTTTCTCCCCTCCCCCCCCCCCCCCAATTTGGGCATTATAGTTTACAATACAGATAATTAAAGGTTATTATGTATATGCCTTTACCTACTTTCAACACTTGGTTCTTTTCCAGCAAGATCATTTCCAACTATTATTTTTATACTGGTCCCTTCTCTATCCTAACTGCCCTCCATCTTGACACACTTGGGGTAACTTCCAATCATTGACCAATCCTGGCCCCTGTTTTCCCTGGCCTAGTATATTAGCCTCAAACTAGTTTTGATAGCCCACAAATGACTGCAGTAATTGTTTCTTACTTATTTCACTCAACATGATACTTTCCATGTCCATCCATTTATAAACAAATTCCACAACTCCAGTTTTTTTTTATTAACAGCTGCATAGTGTTCCATTATATAGATGTACCATAGTTTCTTTATCCAGTCATCTATTCTTGAACACTCAGGTTGTTTCCAAATTCTGGCTATTGTGAATAGTGCTACAAGGAACATATGTGTTTAGATGGTGTTTCTGCTATGTGTTTTTCAGCCCTGGTGTATATACCCAGATGTGTTATTGCTGGAGATCCATTTTTTTTGAGGCTCTGCATATTCCTAGAATGAGCAGATGCCATTGGGCTACGCTAGCACGCAACAGAGATGAATGGAGACGTTACTGGCACCCGCTTGAGTAAATCGATGAGTAACGGGGTATCAAGTGATCAAGTAATCAAGTGATACTGCTGGGTCAAATGGGAGCTTAAGTTTTAAAAATCCTTGAGAAAAAGAAGATGAGAAGCATAAGCCTCAAACTCTCCTACAAAGCAGTAGTATTTAGAACAGCATGGTATTGGAATAAAGACAGATCTGCTGACTAATGGAATAGAGTTGAATATCCTGACACATAGCCTCAAATATTGGATCATTTATTCTTTGATGAGAGAACAAGAAATATAAAGTATACCAAGGAAATCCAAGGAAATATCAAGGAAATCCAAGGAAATATAAAGTATACCAAGGAAATAACAAGTGGTTCTGGGAAAATTGGACAATTACATGTAAAAAATGAACTCAGACCTCTATCTAATGCCAAGCACAGACAACAGATCAAAATGGATTAAAGACCTCAACATCAGACCTGACTCCATAAGATAACGTGGAAGAAAATATAGGCAAAACGCTCCATGATACTGAAGCTAAAGGCATCTTAAAATATAAAACACGTGGAAGGAAAGATAAAAAAAATGGGACTACATGAAACTAAGAAGCTTCTGTACCTCAAAAGAAACAGTGATCAGATACTAAGACAGCCCATGGAATGGGAAAATTTATTCACCTAATACAGATAAGGAGTTAATATCAAAGGTATTCAGGCACTGGCAGAACTTTAAACAAAATACAATTCAATCAAAAATTGGAAGAAGAAATGAACAGAAACTTCCTCAAAGAAGAAATCCAAAAGGCCAAAAGGCACATGAAAAAATGCTTCATATTGCTAATCATCAGGGAGATGCAAATCAAAACAACAATAAGATCATCTCACACTGCAGAGACTGGCACACATCCAAGATAGCAAGAACAGTCAGTGCTGTGGTAGATGCAGGGAGGAAGGGATTCTGCTTTATTATTGGTGGGAATGCCAACTGGTTCAGCCTTTTTGGAAAATAATATGAATATTCCTGAAAAAGTTGTATTTCATTTTTTTGGGAATTTTTTTCACATGGCTCTAACCCAGAGTGCCAAAATCCTATTAAAGTTAAAACAAAGATTTGCTTGGTTCTGTCCTTTAAAGTAGAGGCATGCAATAAAAAAAAGAAAGAAAAGAATTCCATTTTGAAGTACAGAAAATGCTTCAGAGAAATTGTACTAAGTGAAGCATGAGGAGAAGCTATTTCAGCTCTCTTGACTTCAGGGAAGGACACATGAATTCAAAATAAAGATTTCTTCAGGCTTAGAGATTTTTAACAATAGGAGCTGATGATCAATGAAGGAAAGAAGTAGGCACTAATGACATTTTTTTAGAGCAGATCAACTTGAGCTTTCATTTTTCATGAAGTCCTCCAATAAATGCATTGACTCCATTTTTCTCTCCCAGCATCCCAAACAATTATTTTGATTCCAATGATTCAATGGCATTCTGAAATGCTTTTATGAGGAGTCAAAGGGGAGAGCCATATCGCTAACTGTGTGAAAGAAATATTCAAGTGTCAAGTGAAAAAATTAACGAAAGATAATCCATGGGATCATTGAAAAATATCTAAACCTTATTTAATGTTCCTGGTCAATAAGCATGCATACAGTGAATGTATGTAATTTCTTTTTCTTATCAAATATACCATTTCTCCTAAGCTAAACATAACCCTTTTATTGGGGGGGGGACATAAAGGAGAGAACACACGGCATTTCTCAGGCATTACTCCTGAGCCATGCACTCAGGAGTCACTTCTGGTGGCTCTCGGGACCAAATGGGATGCAGGGACTCGAACCCAGATTGACCACGGTGCAAAGCATACACCTTTTCTACTCTACTACCTCTCTGGCCCCAGCCTTATACCATTTATACCAATACTTCACATCGACCACAAGGCTAAATACCTACAATTCCTTTCAATATTATAGTATATCAAATAGATCATCTGAGAAAAACACCTTGTTGATTCTTAGTTAGATTCTAAACGCCTGCAATTAGTAAGCCTGTGAGCGATAGCACAGCAGTAGGGTGTTTGCCTTGCACGCAGCTGGCCCCATCAACCAGGGTTCGATTCCTCTGCCCCTCACGGAGAGCCCAGCAAGCTACTGAGTGTATCTCACACGCAGGGCAAAGCCTGGCAAGCTACCTGTGATATATTCGATAAGCCAAACACAGTAAGAAGTCTCACAATGGAGACGTTGCTGGGCCTGCTCGAGCAAATTGATGAACACGGGAGGACAGTGCTACAGTTCTTGTCACTAACATTTACTATTAGAATATGTGTTGTACCTAGAATGATACTATGAGAGGAGGCAAGTTTTAGTTTGACCTATTCTGCTTCAGAGCTGTTTAGCTTCATGTTCAGAGGAGCAGGCAGTGTGAGGGCAGTGGAGAAATAAAAGTGGTATTAGGGCTCTCAGGGCTGCTTGTGGTGATTCTCAGCTATTAGGTCTGATGGTTCAGTGTTTGACCCAGAGCTGTATCCTTCTTGGATCTGAGCATGCTCGAGGGAACCGCATGCAGCATTCTGGAAACCACATAATGCTGGAGACTAGATTGACCTCTTACTTCTATCTAGCCCTTTGAGTTATCTCCCCAGCTCCAAGAGAATTTTTAAAACTAGTTAAGCAGAACTTCACATGATGAGATGTAAATAGCAGATAATTAATGTTTTTATAGAAAAAAAGTTTTTATACTTTATATGCACCCATTAATCTAATTTCTCGGCTCACAAAATAGTTCAGGAATGGGGTATTTTAGTTCAGTGACTTTAAATCATAGCAATGTTTTTGAGGAAATGATGCTTCTGGTAACATATTTTGACTTTGAAAATACAATTACATGACTTGAAAATTTCCATCTTGGAATGTCTTTTTGATATCAATGAGAAGTCAATTGAAGAACTGAGATGTAATATTTTGACATATACTCACCCGACTGACAAGAAAGGCTCCTTTGATTCAAGTCTATGAAAAAAATACGAAAAACTTTATTTAATATAACAATTTATGTACTCTTAAATTTGTAGTTATATGAATATCAAAGAATTACTGTACTTTCTTGAATTAAAGTGCATGATTTAACATTCACAAAAAATTGTAAATAATATGTTAAAATCTAAACTGTACTAATTCAATACCGGCTGGGATAATTCAATGGTGAAACAAAAAGAGAATTAGAAGGGGAAAATGAGACTTGAATGATCGATTAAAATACTTTCGCTAGTCTACTCCTGATTCATACACTGGTTTTCTTTGCAGAAATTTGTTTCAATATGTCTGCTTGTGACTGTTGTAGTAGTAAAAAAATAATAATATCTTTAGCTACACGTTGACAGAATCATTTATTTCCAGAAAATATTCTGTAATGAAGAGAGATGCAACCTGCTGTTCATGGTCATTTACTGCCAGCAATACCCACGTTACATCACATTTTGATTCCTCCTGCTTCTTCTTGTCTTTTATGAGTCCAAGATGTTTTTCTTCCTCTTAACATATTAAAGGAGAATTCTGTAGTTTAGATAGATACATATACCGTACCTCTGCAAAGCCAGTAATACTTAAGAATGAGTTTCAAACTACAACGTCCAAACTTTCATACTTTTGTACCAAACAAAACACTGTAAGAATGATCTTCAGACTATAAACAACATAACGAAAAAATTTGCTTGTAATGTAGATAGAGTTTGGGTGAAAGGGAACCTAGGTACACTGGTGGGAGGAAGTCCACATTGGTGGATTGGTGCTGGAACATTCTACATCTGAAACGCAACTATGCATAGGTATGTAAATCATGGTGCCTTAATATTTAAAAATAATTTTTGAGTTAAAATATTTTAAAAACTTTTAGAAATGTAGCAGCTGTGTCTACCTTGTTGCCTTTAAAATTTAAATTATTTTTAAGTGAATCGCTGTGAGATACAGTTACAGACTTACATACTTTCATAATTATCTTTCAGTCATATAATGATCAAGTACCCATCCCTCCACCGGTTCCCATTCTCCACCACCAATGTTCCCAGTTTCCCTCCCGTCACCACCACCCCAATTCCGCACCCCTCACCCCCGCCTCTGTGGCAGGCACATTCCCTTTCACTCTCTCTCCTTTTGCATGCTATGGTTTGCAGTACAGGTAGTAAGTGGCCATCATGTTTCCTCCATAGTCTACTTTTAGCAGGCGTCTCCCATCCCCTTGTTGCCTTTGTCTGCATCAGATGTATACAAATAAGATTCAGGTGTGGCAGTTGAGGCAGCATCTGCATTATAACTTGTAACAATAGACCACTAATAAAACACACTTTACAAAAAGTAGATTCTTTACAAAAGGTAAGGAAATCACAAAAGGCCCTATTTAAAAATATCTTCTGACTAATAATTCAGGAGATGAGTTGGTAAATGTACCCGGTCACTTATAAGTCTTCTAAGAAAAGTGACCTAGAGGAGTCATGAAAAAGTCATTTATAAGATGATAATAGTTTAAGTTAAAGAAAGTATTGATTATTTAAGCATTTTATCTAAATCCTGGGCTTAGATGTTTCAAAAGCTTTAAACATCTTAAAATGTCTCCAGGGTTCTGGGAGTTGATGATATTGCTAATATCAATTTTTAAGACTTTTCTATGAATCTAAGCAATGAATGCAATACTTTTTGTTTTGTATTTCACTCTGTGTGCATTAAAATGCTGACTGTAACTATGTGAGCAACTGATGCACATGTGAGCATAAGAACATGGGCTTCTTCCGCATATACTTCTGCTCTTAAAATCCTAGCTTAAAGGGGAGCGAATGTCCAAGCTACCCTTATAGGCAGCAGCAAGAAGGGGAAAAAATTGAATAAAAAAGTGTTCCTTTTCCTTCTTCTGAATACCAGTATTATTTGTACCTCAATGTTAATTACATCACATTTATTTACCTATGTATAATATAGGTAAGCAAACAGAATGTGGGGAGGAGTTGAAGACAAAGAATGAAATATGTTTGGATATGTTACATTTATTAGATGCCTCTTGTGCCAAGTGACCAAATAAATTTCTTTGAAGAAACTGGGGTGGGATGGGGCAGAAATTCTGTAAAATGTGATACAGGAAACTCTTTACTTAAATTTCCAACATCAGGAAATTACACATCTCTTTTGTATTTCATATTCTAAGATGAGAAATAAAGAGAATATGAATAATCTTCCAACTCTGTTTGCCTCCCGTTTTAGCTTGACATTGCCCAGATATTAGTGTGTGTGAGATGCTTGTGGGAGGTGCAACGCTCCACCCTCTTAATTCCCTGTTTTGGACAGTTTATATTCCTATACCTCTACTGTATGCTTTTCAGGTTATTTATAATTTGGCAAAAGAACAAAAAAAATTGTCTTTTTTTTTTTTTTGGAGAGGGGCACACTGGACTTGATTTATTTCTGGCTTTGCACTCAGGGCTGACTTCTGGTAGTGCTCAGGGTCATATGTGGTGCCATGGATGGAATCCTGTTGTGCCTTGTGCAAGGCAGACACCTTGTCTGCTGTGATGTCTCTCCAGTCCTCACTCATCTCTGATTATGTCCTACCCCCATCTCCATCAGAAAACTCCTTCACATGGCTTTCATATTTCTCTCCACTTCACTCCTAGGCTAGTTCTAGACTTACCTCAGCTCAGCTAGTCTCGCCAATGTAAGTTCTTTGCTTAGAGTTGCTCCAGCTTTCTGTACTGATATCTGAATGCTTCTTTCATTTCTTCTACCTAAGCGTTTGTTTAATTTCTGTATTGTAACTTTGCCTTAGGGATATCAAAACACATGGAATAAAAACAAGACCAATCACTTTTGCCTTTCTATCAGCAATTACTGTAGTGTTAAGTTCAGAATGTGTTGGAAGAAGTCATTATTGATTGATTATTTTTTTCTTTTTGGGTCACACGTGGCAATGCACAGGGGTTATTCCTGATTCATGGTTCATTACTCCTGGTGATGCTCGAGGGGCCATATGAGATGCTAGGAATTGAAACCGGGTTGGCCACGTGCAAGGCAAACATTCTACCCATTGTGCTATCACTCCAGCCCCTTTTTGATTGATTTTTCCTATATTTTTTTAAGTTTTCAGAGAGGTAACTGCTAAATCAGAGCGTCTAGGGACCTAAGTTGCCCCATCAACTCAGTGGCAGATAAAGTTAGTCTCACAAGCAAATTATCTCCGTCTCTTCTTCATTCACCACTTGAATTTACCACTTTATTCACCACTTGAAAGGAAATAGGTTATATCCTTTCAGGTTTCCAATACAACACTTCAGGAAGAACTCAAAGTGTTTAGAATGATGTGGGAATGAGAAGTCTTACCAATGTTCTCTAAACTAAGGATTTGCAAATTCTGATCTAGAGACAAATTCATGTCTTTACCTGATTCGATTCAATCCACAAGCTAAAAATGACTTAAAAGCAACTAAAAAAGTGTACTTAAATGTAATGGTACTCCATGACAAATGAAAATTACATAAAATACAATTTTCAGGGCCCATACGTAATCTCACTGGAATCCAGATGTATTTTTTCATTTACATATTGTTTATGACTGCCCTGCGATATAGCAGTAGTTTTAGTAGTTAAAACAAGAATTGTATGTACACAATCTCAAAAAATATGTGCTAAGGCAAGAAAATATTATTGGAAGGAAGTGGAAGCTAACTCTCAAATACACATCTTTATTTTAACACTTTTGAAGATAGTTTTCCAGACATAGAAGTTAGAGAAACTCAAATTTCTTCTCTATACCACTAAGTCTCTGAACCAAAATAGATTAATTCCCTAAAAAGGCTGCTTTCATATCACCACCGTTATTGACAATTTTACTAATCACATAATGATGTCCAAGTATTTTGAAGATCTTTCACAACATGTGGCCTCACAGTGGATTTTTCATATTATAACTTCTTTTACTGAGCATATTACTCCAGGAACTCTGCCACTTGCTTTGCTACCGTTAAGAAATATATATATATAGAAATCATAACCCATATTCCCCTTCTTTTCCCACTGCATGATGCATGCATGCATTTATGTATTTATTTTTCTTTGGCCTAACCCAATAGTACTCAGGGCTTACTCTTGGCCCTGGGCACAGAGATCACTCTTGGCAGTGCTCTGGGAACCATATATGGTGCCAGGGATTGAAATGGGGTCTGGCAAGAGAAAGTCAAGGCAATGACCACCTGTTCTATCTCTCCAGTCTCTGATATAATTATTTTAAAGTTTATTCTAATATATTTCTTTCATAAAGACAAGTGAGACACTTTTCTCTAGTACTTCTTCTAATCATTCTTCTTTACTATGATATTCACAAGAAAGTAGTCCTTACCTAAAAGTTTAGCACATTAATATCTGTAAGCATATTAAATCTGTGTCTTTATTTAGACAAGAAACTCCTGATTGTCCTGCATTAGACCTCCATTGGTCCAAGTGAAAGGTAGCTGCTAATAGTGGATGAGTTAAGCAGAAAGGAACAATTTCTGATCATTAGATACTTTTCAGCAGTGACTGATGACAAGCCAGGAGTTCCAAACATTTTCACTGGTAAAGTGAGGCAGGAAAACTTGATGGCAAGCTGCCACCTGATCATCCGACTGTCTCTCTCATCCTCAAAATGATGAATAACAACAGAGAGAATTAACAACAGATACATGTGAAATAAAACTCTAATCAACTTCTCTGTGGGGCTCATTATATGGGATCAACTTCTCCCCCACTCTGGGTTGGCTCAGAGTCTTATCACATTTTTACTCATTATTTATAATAGCATTCATCACAGTCAACTCAAAGACCGGTGGCAAAGAATCTGAAATTGTGTATTTTAGAACAACTAAATTCCTGGCACAGAGGGCATCTTCAAAACTTCAGCTGCATGATACAGGTTGTTAACTAAGGGCTAACTTGCTTGACTAGATATGAAAAGTTCACTTTAATAACCCCTTTTGGAGAAAATTGTCTATCAA